TAATTTGTCCTACACAAAATACTTAGCCACCATTGCCTTGCCTTTATCTTATTATTTGTGGTCGGCGCAGTATGTCATTCTCTTCCACTGCTCTCTATCGGCTGTCATATCTGAGCATACTCTTATTTTTTTCATATCATCTTTTACACAATCCATCCATGGTTTTTAGGACGTCCTCTCATATTATGTCACAAAAAATTCATGACACCTGATAATGCCTACCCTACTTTATTTGAGATGGCAGTCGTCAAGGTAATTATTGATCATCGAACCTAGGACTGTAAAGTCCCATTAAATCTTTAAAACAAGTGCACAAATTGTGAAACAATAAATATAACAGTAACAAATGCAAACACAGCGTCTGTTTGTGAGGAGTCCCACGGATTGACGCTTGTTATTACTTAAGTCCACGTAATTAAAGATACGGCTGAAATAAATAAATGTATTAGAGTGACTTACGATGCCTCGCGGAGTCCTGCTAATAAAATAAATGAAGAGCCGGCAATGATCGCAGTTGTCCAACTCTACTGGCACAATGGTGTAAGTATGAAAATTAACAAAACAAAAAAAAGTGTCAAAAATATAGAGTTCTTAAGTAATTTGAATGGTCAATCCTTATGGAAAATAGTAACTGTTGCATATACATATATATATATGAGAAGTATCACGGATATTACGTAATCCTGGATATTACTTATGTGTTGGCATTCCGGAGTACTATGGTGTCATGCCTCTGTGCTCTTATTTCCACAGGTAAATTTCGCGTTTCAATCGAAATACTGCTTTTGAAGCACTTTGTGGCTGAAATATAAAAGTCCTCCGCGTCTGCGTCTCGCAAGATTGTCTGATATTGATTTAACCTTTCAGTACTTTTAAGTAAAATTTCAACAACAAATTGTACACAGTTATACAAACATTGTACAGATAGACAAACATTCGTTTCTTCTTACCATAATATTAAAACGGATAAGTTATAGAATGCTAAAATAAAATGCGAGATATTAATAGGGATTACATTTTTATTTAAATAGAGTTATACCGCTTTACCAGTGTGATGCAACTAGTGCGGCCCGCTGGAGAGGCAATTGATTAGCCGGTCCTCTTTGTGCGCCCGCGCCGACGCTCACAACAATTTGCTTGCGGCCCGACCGCCCTAATTTTAATGGCCTTATAAAATTTATATTTAATGTATTTATCATAAGATAGATTGATATGGATGGTGGAATGTTTATGGTAAATGAAAATTAATTAATTTAAATATATGTTCTGATTTAAAAAATTGTTCCATGTGTATTAAATAATAATTAAGGTTTTAAAAATAAAGTTAATGTAACTATGTAACCATTTACATATGCAGTTCATATCTTTCCTTTTTCCGGGCACTTCTTCCAATATTTCTATTCAGAAGGACCTTTCTATACCTTTCTATAACTATTACAAATTAGTTCAACCATTCTGCAGTTTTAAGTTTACTAGCTGACCCAACAAACATTGTTTTGCCATAGAAATTTAAATCTCTATTAAAAGATAGGGGTTGATTTGTGAAGGATTGTATATATTTTATAATGACATATAATAAATACATAAACACAAATGAATTGTCGAAAATATGAAAAAAAAAGTTTTTGGATAGGGGTGACTCTAGGGGTATAAAAATCATGTTATAAACCTACACTGACCTACTGAATACACATTTCATCAAAATTGGTCAAGCCGTTTCGGAGAAGTATAAACACGAAACCTGTGACACGAGACTTTTATATATTACATGTATGTATACAAGCATTGTTGGATTACGAATCCTTATAAATTAATATATAAAAGAGAGAGTGGACTGTACTTATTGAAAAAAAAATAATGAATGGAAAAGGAAGTGAAAATACGATTTCGACCTGGAAGAACGTCTTCCATACTCCGAACACCCCAACGTAAGCAATGTAACACCAAACTTACTCACCTTTGCTCAGGAACGTCCCGATGTGTAGTACTGCCTAGTGGCCGCGCACTCTAGAGTGTATATTTTCATCAAAAACAATTATATTGTGTTAAATAAATAATTAATTATCTTGTTTTATATAGATAAACATACGGAGCGTCCTTTTAATTCCAGTTCTTATTTTCAATTGTTTTATTATTCTTTTTTTGAAATTTAAGTGGCCACATGTTTTTATATGTGACCAGTATTACCGAACGCCCTTTGCTCCAGTAAGCAAACCGGTGATACAACCTGCTTAGACTAAGGAGGTTCGGAATACGGAACAAGCATAGTCAGAAATTTTTTAACTCAAATTTACTAATTATATTGCACACTGCTACTGTTGCTGCGCCGACAATGGATGAATGCCCAAATAATGGAATAAAGGCGAGACAATGATGAGGTAACTAAAAGGTAGAAAGTAGAGTATGTGGAATATATTTGAGGCGGTCAGCACCGTGTGTGCACCAAAGTTTAAAATATCACTATGGAGAGTGTGCAGTAAGGTCCATATTATGATAACATAACGAGGAATCAAACCGCGGCTTTGTTTTATAGCGCGTACGCACGCGGCCCGGGCATGTCTGGTCACACTCGTTACATACGTTTTCCGAATTTGATTACTCATATAAAATACATTCATTATCTTATTGTATTTTATTATTTGCAGTTGTAAACAAGCTGGTAGAAATAGTAGAAAGTTATTTTGGTTCTCTTTTTGAGGTCATCAATATGTTTAAAAGAGTTTTGGTAATTTTTACCCTTTTCCTGCTTTTCCCTTCTGTGACACTCACAGTAAAATAGTTAATATTTCGTTTTTATTACTATATTATTACTAAAGTTGAAATGTGATCACAAATACCCGCTTAAGGGGGAAGGGGATTGTTAGTAATATGGATTGATAACCCCATTGCTAGCAATGTACCATGTCAGGTCGACCTCCACGCGGTTTCCCCTGGAAACCATCGTGTTAAATTCCTGGTGAATTTGTCACGATGGGCTAACTGGGTTAACTGACCTGACCTCATGCTCATCCTGTCATCCTCCACTGGTGCCCCGCCAGCGTAAACCGTTAGCGCAGGGGAGTGCACCATTACATTACCATCCACAAAAAAAAATACTCGCTTATGATGGTTCCTATTCTTCTGTTAGTAAGTAATTTATAGGTTTGTTAAACTAAAAATCCAGAAAAAATTTACGGTAAATACAAATTAGAGCACATAAATTCTTTACAAATATTTACACACATTATTAGGGTTTGCGTAAATGAGATATGTTATATACACATTTGTTATTCGTATAAACGTATTCATGCACGACAAGCACGTATAATATATAATGAACTTTTTAAAATCCAGTCAATATCCAATCAATTAACTTTACGACCTTAAATTGGCTTGTTATTTTCCATATTAAGATGGTTAAAATTTAACCCGTCTACCTTAAGAGAAGACGACCTGCAATTTGTTTTTCTAATTAAATTAGATGCTCAATACTCATACACATCGCAAGTTTGTAGACATTTACATATTTGAAGATTCAAATACATAAGTGCCCTAGCTTCGTCTGGCGCCAGCTTTACGGAAAAATACACGACTGTGATTTTATTTGCTACCTTTCGGCGCCTTGACGGCTTAACCAATCACGAAATTTGGTATACAATATATGTACATATATAGTATATGGGGAAGAGCATAAGCTACGATTTATTCCAGTTTCTAAGTTATACTATTATAGTTATTTTGTATTGTAAGAAGTGTACAAGGTCCGATATATTTTAGTTTCTGGCGTATACTAGTTATTTGTACATGAGCGTGAAGATAATAAATACTGCAGCATTAGATAGCGCCAGTATGGCGAAGTACATTCATCCACAAAGTTCATTGATGGCGCATAGTGAGACGTGTGTCCATGCCTGGACCTACCCCACGAGTGGTGGCCGAATCGATGGACTACATTCACGCAGTACCGCGCATGCGATCTGCGTCCTCTAGTCATTTGGTACAGGCAGGCAGTAAAGCGATATCTGGTTTATTTTTTAAAATATTTGTATAACTGACAATGATATATATTGTATAGTTGATTTTTATACCTCTTTAATGCAATTATTTAATGTGTAATAACTAATACAATTTCACATAGTTCGGAATCATTACAATTTTTATTATATAGCAATGGAGGTATAGTCAAGGTACTTAGAAATAAAATATTCAAGTTTGGTATTTAGTTTTATCAAACTGCTTACCTAATATGGGTTACTTCAAGATTATACATCTTTTCAGTTCTCATTTTTTTTATGTGTAATCTTTTCAGCTGTTTTAGTAAAGTACAAAACTAAAGAAATATTTAACACAGAATTGCATTTAAATTAGCTCAAGCTACATAATGTCTATCTTTTGTCTGTAATATGTATGTTTTAATTTATTCTATTTATCTTCAGAAATAGAATTCTGAAATGTTTTCAACAATTCTTGTTTAAATGTATGGATAACTTTTTTGTTTTATATTTATGAATCATAATAATATTGTAATACTGAGGAGTCTCCAAGGAGCGAATTTGCAGCATTTAACTGTGAAGGTTTTGATGAGGAGCGCTTCAAGATTTCGATCTCATTAAGTACAATGGGGTCAAAAGCACCTATTATCAGTAATAGTGCTTACTTTTTTAATGTAGATTTCATACTAATTATAATAACGCTGCGTTTTTTTATTTACGATCTATCTAGAATAAAAAAGAGGTCGAGTGCAATATTTCAATATTTCAGGCTTAATATTGTAATATTTTTTAAATAAATGAAAGATAAAAAAAGATCAAATACCAATGCTGACAGGGCTCTGTATTCTAATCTATAAAATACAATTTCTGTGAAAAAGTTATGACCTAAATACACTATCATATAGACAATATTACATTATGTGTTGGAACTATGCGTAACCTACTTCGACATTTGCCAAAAGCTTTCATAGCTTTTACGTAACACATTTGTTCCCGACATTACTGCGACCGGTGTCAGTCGAGCTTTGCGGCAGTAGAGCTCACTGAAACATCGGCGAAAGCCTGAAACGCCTTACTCTACAACTTACAGACTTACAAAATTCAAATATATTTTAATTGTAATTTTCTAAATTTGTACGTAAACAAGAAACAGACATGTAAGTTTATTTTTTTTATTTATGTGCGGTAATGGTTTCTAGCCATGTTTTCATATTATAACTTTATATTTCTTTGCTTTGATATCAAACGTGCTTTTTTATTTATCTGATTGTATTAATTATATTAAAAGAAAAATGGTGTCTTAGTTAAAAAAGGTACTTACTTACTACCTTTTTTAATTAGGAAACCGTTTTTCTTGCACACTCAATGACAAAACTAACTTAATTTGTGTGAAAACTATCTTCTATCTAATAATATCTATTTCTGGCAAATTAATGTCTCCAAATAAAAAACATTTTTTAATATATATCATATTAAATAGTCATTATTTAAATACACATACATAGAAATATAAACAAATATACAAAATTAAATGTGTCCGTCTATTTATTATCTGTCGCGACTAAACGGTTACACGGATTTCAATGTATTTAAAGTTATATTCTAAATCTGATGACTGATACATCTCTGATGATAAATCCCTGATGGCGATCTCTTATCTGAAAAAAATACACGAAAAGTAAGTCATATTAAATATTTTATATGGTTTCTTGCATAATTTAATACGTAGAAATTTAATGAGTTTCGTGTAGAATTTATTGTGATGATTTACATGACAGCACAAGATTTGCATGAATGCGATTGATTTGATTATTTAATATATCCCTGTACGATTCACACAGCGTCCTCTAGTCACAAGTTAAGCAGAGCTTGTTACAGGTACTAGACAACTGATATAAATACTTAGTTACTTTTTTTGTAAATACATATATAATGTACATAGAAAACACCCAGATCAATACAATCATACCCATGAATACAAGTGTTTGTATCATGCTAGGAATGGAATCCGTGACCATCGGAAGTAAAGCGGTGTGCTAAACCCCTAGACCACCGAGGCTGTCAATTAATTGCATTGTAATCTCAACGCCTGTCGGTTTTGTATTGTTAGCTTTAGGAATATCGTCACGTCACGTGATGTCCGTGTTACTCAAGATGCCTTTTACCATTCGGAAGTTAAAAAGGCATCTTGACTGCAATGTCTTCGTACTCTGTAAATTCACTATAAGATCCTGCAACCGAAATTGAAACTGTTTTTAAAAACTAACAGTCAGTATATAAGCTAACGGTTTCAGTAGCAGTTTCCCTCGATTACGCCTGTTGTTTTTGAGATTGATTGATATCCTATGACCGTCCTCGTGTTAATTTCATTAAGATCCATTCAGCAAGCCGATTTGCCATAATGAGGTAACAAATAGACAGATAGACCTATATATAGACATAATTACGATTTTTTACTTTGGATTAGCTGTTGCATACGATTTTGTCTGCTTTTCCAGATAAACATGCCTATCTCACGTTATAATTTGTTAAGAAATGTTTCACCGTTTATTTTTTAGAGACAAACACATTTTCGCAATTGTAATATTAGTAAGGATATAAATGCAAGTAATTTACAACTTACGTTTCTGTATTGATCGACGAATATTCGTCTAAATGTAGAGATGCTAGTTTCTATAAATATCTTAGAAGGTGTATAGAAATACAATAAAAAGAGCAATGGCCTATCGAATTTGTTTGGTCGTATTGGATTGCTTGCGAATGTGTTTAATGCCTAGCTTTCATGAAGGGTCGAGTCTATTTCTCCTTCATTGGACATTTACTTGACGCATCGTATATTTTTGTGGATTATCGATATCCCATTTACTATTTCGCGTTTACGCATAAAAAACGGATAAGGAATATTGTAGCGAAGTATTTATTTTTCATTCGTCCATTCTCTATATCATTTCGTCTCTCTGTTTGTCTATTATATTTAATGAAAGGCTTCATGTCTTTCATTAAATTTAATAATTCTATTTGTATTACGAGGAAGGACACAGGCCGTCTTATTTTTTTTACCTTTGTATTTATAAGGAAATTAATAGAGTTATACTATATATTAATAGAGTTATAATATAACAGAGGTAAGTAAATTTTTATATTGTTATTTTTCTATAAATATATATTATTGTTATTATTACTTATTTTGTACTTATTTTTTTAGACCTATATCTCTATAGACCGATTATGTCTACCTAGGTAGACTTTGTACAAAGTCATCAAGTATTTTGCGTGGCCACTTGAAAGATATGTTTTAGTTTTAGAATTATAGTAGTAAAATTACAGGATGTAGGACATGATACCTTAGTCCTTCAGAATGGCAATTCTTGAGGGGAACCACCATCACATAACGATGTGTTATCTATGGTTCAGATTATGTATATAACCGACAGGAGCGCCACGGTAGTCGGAGAATCAGATTGGCATGACATATTTTGTTATGTTAAAAAAAATACTATACATATGTAATTAATATTATATGTACAAAGTCGGCAATGTAAGATAAACTGATTGTACAAGATGTACAATCTATTGATGGCCTTGGTGGTCTAGCGGTTTCGGTCGCGGGTTTGATTCCTCGCATAGTGCAAACATTTGTATTTATGAGTATATACAAACAATTATACTCATAAATACAAATGTTTGCACCGCGAGTCGATAGGCTTTTTTATAAACATATACATAAATATAATATTATGTAGATATATGTTTATAAAAATCTAAGGTTTTATATCAGGTCTCTAGTACGCATAATACAAGATCTACTTACCGTGGAACTAGGACTTCTTGGGCACACAGATATATTCGTTAATAAAAAAAATAGGGACTCTACTTTCCATTACACATAATATTTAATTTACATAAAAGTGTATTTTGTTTTTATAAATACCTCTTATATATAGATATATCTCTTTTTAGTTCGACACTAAATAACGCTATGTCAGTGGCCCAAGGTTATTTATTAATTATTATTGTCAAAACATATATATCAATATACTACTTAATGTACCTTGAACTCTATGGCATACAAATATTGATTTTTCCATGTTTACTGGGCTATCATTTAATTCTAGGTTGGATGACAGTCATACCAATCCATATAATGGTTGGCATGTCGCCAATTGACGTCACTACCCACCAACTATGCCACAGAATATACAGGATCATTATCTGTATACATTTATTAAGTAAATTGATTTTTAATGTTAGACATTAAGTCAGATCGGGCAGACTTGTGTATAAAACACTATTACGCAGAAAAGTAAACTAATTATATTAACAACAACTAGCTGTCATCCGTGACTTGTCCGCTTAGAATTAAAATTAATATAATTACTAAAATGTAACTAAACTAAGAATAAGAATTTTATTTCATTTATTCCTGTCAATCAACATTGCCAATTACATGAAGGAAATACACTTAAAGGATACTTAATTAAAGGCGGCCAAAGAATCCGGCTCAGCGTATGCCGACAGGATGCTCCTGTGCGGCGCTGGTTTTCAACCGGATCTTTTTCTACCAATTTTGAAGATTTTATACAAAATAAAAAAGTTAATAAATGATTAGGGTAGCACAACACAACTAAACTATAGCATAAATAAAAGTATCGTATTATAACTACAGATCAGACAAAACATTGTTCCATGGTAAACTACAGGATGTTTAAATTTACTTCATTGATGTTCTTAATATTCTATACAAAAAAGTTAATAATTAAAAGCACTACCAGTTGTCTAAGATATAAGCATCAAATAATAGCTTCATTCAATTATATAAATAATTTCGAAATGTCTTTCTAAAACTGTATAAAATTTTACTGTATTACATTCTTGGGGATATTTCTTAGCATAACCTTCGTCCGTCTACGAATTTACTTCTTCATGTCCTTTTTCTTCATGATCTTTCACATCACAGGCTATCAAACACTAAAATGAGTTACTCCTTCACATTAAATCCACCGCTCGTACCTTTCCCAGAGATTGGGTAATTCCTGTTACTCCAAATTTAAATAGTACGATTCTTCTACACCACCTCCACTCTACAGCTAACTTTCACTGTTGATTTGTATAAATATATAATATACATATAACTATATAATTTATTTATTTCGTTAATTGTAGTATATACATACAATTAACTAAATAAATAAATACACGTACACACATGTATGTATTTCCTTAGTTATATTTATAAATATTGTGTATATGTGTAATTATTTATTAATAGAATGGACAATATGTATATAAGTGTGGTCGATTATGTGTATGTTTAATTAATCAAAATTATATTTTAATTTACATTTGTAATTTAAGTTTGTTGATGCACCGCCAATATGAGTCTCAGTTTGCCCAATGGTTGACTGGTAGAAAATGTATCGAGGTGTTAAGTCCGCCATTTCTATATTTATGCATTAAAGTATTAATAAATAAATAAATTCGTTTTTACAATTTATATAAAATACCTTTCATATTTAATAATCTTAAATTATTATATTCCAGGGCAGCACCAGAAGGAGGACCACCAGGTTTGGCACCACAGGAACCAGAAATTGGGCCTGATGGGGAAATTATCGGAGGACCCCGCACTCCACAACAAATCGCCGCCCAGAAGCGTTTACAGCAGTCTAGGGCTCAAGTTGACGAGGTATAGTTACGAGAACTTTCATAACATTTTCTGTTTTTCATTGTCAGACTATGTTATATGATATGTATATTGTATATTTGATTTACATTTTATTTCCTATTTATTTATAGATTAATATATATTATATATATTTGAGTATGCATGTGTTTACATACTTTGTAACTTTTAACAAACTTAACTTTTTACTTTTAGTATATATATAATTTTTTTGACCTATTGTTTTTCTTATTGATTATATTATATTTGCATCGCCTACAGTTTTTCACTGCTCAACATGTGGTTAAGTCCGCCATATGTACTTTTACCTTGGTATTTTGTGCATAGAAGTTATATAAATAAATAAAATAAATAAATAAACAGTAAATATTGGCAATTAGAAAACTAAAAAAAGACATTCAAATGGATACAATAATAAATATTATAAAATGTGCAAAGTTCGCAACAATTAATAATATGTAACGCTTCATATTTAATATTTACAGGTGGTCGATATTATGAAGACAAATGTAGAAAAGGTGCTTGACAGGGATGCTAAGTTATCAGAACTTGACGATAGAGCAGGTAATCTTTTTCACTGCATGTCATGTCTCCGCATCCGGTAATTTTACTGCCATAGGCAGCCACATACGTATATATACCCTTGACAGCGAAATACAGTTAGCAAGGCTAGATTAGTTAGGAATAGATGATACCATCTATTCCTGCTGCTAAGAATTTTGCTAACAGTCTTAGCAGAGTTTGCACACAATTGACTCTGCAAAAGTGATAAACCTTTCAAAGGTATAAAATGTAGTCAGCATTTTAAATTTCCTTTACATATCTTATTTGTAATTAAGCGTAATTTCTAAAAAGAATTGTTGTACTTAGATATTGGATTTAGTTAAAAATTCCTTAGTCCCCTTAGTCTAACTCTTTATATAAAAAAAAAACAAATATAATTATGATTTTACTAATCTGTAGTGTTCCGGATTGAGGCGAATATATTTTATATCCCTGTCTATAAATATATACTAATATGTGAATAAAATGACGGCTACCATTTAATTTCGTAATTTTAATCTATAAAACGTATAAAAATTTTTTAATAATAAAATTTTAATAAATACTGTTTTCAGAGGCCTTGCAGCACGGTGCGTCACAATTTGAACAACAAGCAAAGAGTTTGAAGAATAAATTTTGGTTACAAAATCTTAAGGTAGATAAATCTTTGATATAAATTTCGATTTAAAATGATAATTAATCTAATAATTATATAAACAGGCAAGGTAATTATGATGGGCAGTCGTTACATCATTTCAGAATTTCACAAACAAAGAATATATCTTTAACAACGTATATTTAATTTTCAAAGTAGAGTAACGTTTAAAAAAAACAGAGGATACTAAATCACATTTCATATATTGTTTCTTCTAGATGATGATAATTATGGGAGTGATTGGACTCATAATAATAGGACTTCTGTTTGGTGAGTCATGATATTTTATATTCTTTTTGTTATTCACCAATCGATGTTGTTCAAGTGACTGAATCTTAGCTTAAAACGCTAGATTTTGCACACAAGAATGTTGGAACTTAACGCAATTACAGTCCGTCAAGTTCGTGGATTTGTGTCGATAGTTCCTTAGTGCATGGAGGCTATGCGGGTAACAAGGATGTCCACAGGGCTATAGACTATAGGTAGTGTAAAGAGAATGAAGGAGAGGCAATAAGTGCATTTACGTGCTGTCTCCCTAAGCGAAATGGACCTAAAATGACTGTATCCTGCTGGAACGTCATGCGCGAACTTGACTGACTATAAAACGCATTAATGATATATCATCATAGGAATAATTAAACATATTTACACAACAGGATTGTTGTTTGAACAAATAATATAATATGGTAAGTCTGAATTGGGAGCAGTTGATTTTCTAGAATTCTTTTTCTTGGCATTATTTAGCCATTAAAACTGTTACATAATATTGACAGTAACAATGTGATTTAAGCATATTCAAATAAAGTATATTTTAATAATCAGAGTTTTTTTTATACACAATTACTAATTAAATAATATGGTTTTCAAGTAATTCTGAATTTAATTAGATTCATAATATTTTAATGGGTATAATTATTCTAATTTGATTTTCTGTATTAATACCGAAAAAATATTAGAATATAATAACACATAGAAGAATGTGCGTAAAGTTTCATCTATATGTTGCTGTTTGACTATTTTCCGAATACGATCTGATTTTTTATAAAAATTTCATATACACAAAAATATATATACCTGTCATATTATTAAACAAATAGTATAGAATTGCGTTCGGAAAATTGGACAAATAGCTTTACTGAAAACTGAAAAGTTACGTTTTCAGTTTCAACTATTTGGTGTCAATGTATAAAAATTTTCTTCTGTTATAGAGCATCATGCGATTATATGAATCGCTTTATGTTATTGTAAACATATGAGAATCTAAAATAATTACCTATTTCATTTAGCGAATTGGCTGAACAGCCTTTCTTCTAAACACTGATACTGTCTTCTTCGCTTCTAGGTATCTTCTAGAACGACCAGTGTAGCGTGTAATTAGGCTGGTCAATATTTAATGTTGTTGTGACCTGTGGTTTGTTTCAAATTGGGCACGGAAGTACAACAGCACTATATATATCTTATTTAGCTTTATTTTCTTAAAAAGAAATTGAGATTACAGAGAGACTTTTATTTTTTTTTAATTTTCTGACAATAATCAGAGTCATAATCATCATCAAACATACAATAAATTATTCCTTTATTATATGCCTTATTTGGAAGTTTTTTTTGTCATCAAATCAAATTATGTTGTACAACATTCCCTGCTCAATTTGGTGTCTGTTTGATGGAGTCATGTAAGTAGAGTAGCCGCTTGGAGGCATATGTTCTGCTTACGGCTGTTTGCAGGTGATAACATTAAACAAATGTTTGGTTAGTTCGGTACCGCGGCACACCGACTATGGGCAATGGAACACCTCCAGCGCCGACCAATAGCACCCTTCCAGCTATTACTAAACATTGTAAGTTGACCTTCCTTCATGTATCCCTTTTCCTTGTGCATGGTCGCTTTAGTTCTAGTGTAAATTGCTATTGTAGAGTGCATGTATAAGGGTATTGTCAGAGTACTGTGAAAAAATAGTGCGTAAAAATATTGAAAATTTAATGCTCATAATTTGTCTGTCTTTGTATTAGATGCCATTTAGTTTAAGAGGTACTATATTTTTATAATATAACTGTACTGTACTGATACGCATAGGCGACTGACATGTCTGGTGGTAAACGGTGATCTCCCAGTATATACGGTTGGACATCACGCTGTCATGTTATATCTGTGATACCGCGCATGCTTTGCTATTCCGAAGAACTAAGATGTCATGCCTATTTTCATGTAACTTCACTACAACTAAAAACAGCTTACAAAGCAAGCGGCTGAAATACGTGAGACTCAAGTACATACGCAGATGATTTTTTATAGAGCCTACCTTGGTTGTTTGTTTGTAGAATATATGATTGTACGAGGTTTTCACAGTATAATGACGTAAACAAGATACAAGTATCCGTAGTAGCTATTTTTTTATGACATGATCAAAGGTTTAGTTTGAAATGGGATGATGACGTTAGTTATGTTTTATATTCGATAAAATATTATTTAATATTAAATATAATAGAGATGATAATTTCCGAAAAGAACTAATTTACAAAATTAAAGATAATATAATGTTACTCAGTACAATAATAAGGAGGCAAAATAATTATGTAATGGGTGTCTTTCTCTGAAAGGGTATTTATTATCTTTAATCTTAAAAAAACAAAATTTGCCATGAAGTAAACAGAAGAAATAAATTCACTATATATTAAATAGCGTTCTGTGTTTTTAACAGTTCATTAATATAATTTGAACTAAGTGATAGAACTTTATTGATATATCCACATATTTTCCTGGGAATCAGACACTAATCTCACAGTTCCCTACCTATAGACAATACCACATTCAATATTTTAAATCACAATAGGAAATGTTATGCTCAATTTTTTTCTCTGGTATTTGGTCAACTCTTTTCTGTGTCACCCTGCATAGTAATCACATCAAAGCAATAATATATCGAACATACTTCAATACAGTAGAATCAGATTTTATACAATTACTTTACGAATATTACTTTTTCAACCATGTTTTGTTAATTAACAGATAAAATACTCATTCGCATTATAGTCACATTATACATATAAATAAAACACTTATCTGCTCATAAAAAAACTTTGAAGTGTATTGAAGTAATTAAATATATACATATATACTATATAAATGTTTTACTATTTCAATTTACTCCACGTATACATAGTACCCACACAATTTTTATTCAACATTCACATTTTTGACACAATGCATGTAATTGTAAACTTTGATTTAATTTTTCGTTGTAAACAATACAACCTTATAAAACCATATTTTTATTGTGTTAATAAACCAATTTTTAATTACAGGAAAATATATGTAATACATTATCCATCGCATCCGTTGGGTTCCACTTCAAATGAGAAGAAAATATAATAATAGTTAATTAATTGGCATTAATTTTAATGATCTTCAACTTATGTATGTTTAACAATTTTCTGAACTCTATATATGTCGGCCTACTTTCAATAATTGAGGGTAAATAAAATAGCTGTATACTACAGGATTTTTTATACTAAGTTCTACAGAACTTAGTATAAAAAATCTATTAATTAAATCTGAATATAATAATTTCAAGTAATTACTTGTTAACTTATATATATTTAACGAAAATATTGTATAGATATTTTGATTTGATGAGTCTTTCCCTGTGTGAATACAATGTTCTTATAATGGGAGACTACTTAGAAAATAAGATAAAAAATTATTATTTTTTAACTAAACACTCACGACAAGCTCGGCTGTCTAAATTTCTTTGCGTGCCTTGAACTAGATTCTACTATTTAGAATCCAAATTTCTACTATTATAGTACTTTTTTTTAAAGGCAAGTTATTCTATAGGAAATTATACAGGCTTGTCTGAGGTACTAATTTTATTAAATACGTATAGACGCAAATGAAGTATTTTACAATATTGTAACTGAATTGTGTCATTGAGCTCTTCCAAATGTAGTGGAATCTATCTGATAATGTAGGATAGTATTTAAATATTAACACTAATTGTACACTTATACTTTTTGTGACATAAAGTAGGTTTTATTGAGATTTGTTAATGTGAAAAACACCAATGATATATAGCAGCAATATTAGATCCATGGAATTGAGTAATATGTTAATAATTTATACACTACAGTTAGAATTATATGTTAATATAATCAGTGTTGCCATCAATATAAAAAATAGGAAGAAATTGACATGGGCTGATGATATTTATTATAAAATAGGTAGTTTACATTTCTATTCAAACTAACATAATTGTCAAGATCCGGTACTACATACATAATGTACCAAAACTAAGCTTATCTAAATACATATTTGTTAAAGTAAACAACTGTAATTTCATCTACTTTACAATATTAAGATCTTTGACGTTGATAAATAATAACTTGATATATTTATAGTTAAATATTTTGCATCTCTAAAACTTATGTGGTAAAGACTTCACTAAATAAAATATAATAATGATTGTACGTACATTCTTAAATTACGAGTATTAACAATATTTTTTTTTAATCTTGACATTTATGTTGATTTAATAATATGGTTGTAATTGTAATCAAAATTCAAAGTATACTCTTGCTCACAAATTACATAATATACGAATATTTTACATTAGCGTCTTGTAAGTCAATTATTTGCTTTAGATAGATAGATATGTCATTAAGCTCGACCCACTTGATCGAAATTTCATCGATATAACATTTTTTCCGACTTAAGCACTAGTTTTGTTGTAGTGTTGTTCTAAAACTTATGGAACATATTCGATATTTTCGATTATGTGATCGGGTTTTTCGGGTCAATTACGTAGCGACACCGGCAATATACAACCTACATCGCTACTCTAATTCAGCATACGCCACAAGCAGAAGAAATTTTTGATATGTATCTTAGATACCAATAAGGAGGACGAATTATAATAAATAATATTTTTTAATTTTGTTAAAACGTATAGTTCTTAATTAAATTGTATTAATTACTTCATGTTAAATAAAAGAACTAAGTCCTATCGCTATCGATTTATTAAGTTTAATCTTTTAGTACTGATCGTTGCTTTTTTCGAATAATTGTAAAGTTGCTTTTCGACAAACATGAGTTGTATCTTGATTAGGCCATATGCCTTAAACATTGACTTAATTTAAAGAAAGAGCTACTTTTATGAAGAACTGTACGTAAGTAAATTGAATTGTAATAATGGATATAGTATAGCATTTACAGTGTTTGTACAGCCTTTACACAAATTGATATAGAGTACATCTGCTAGTTCCACTGAAAATGAATGATAAGATATTATAGTCCTAATACAAAGCTGGGGTAACTGTTTGGTTACGTTTACCAAATGTAAGTAGTAGTACTTCTGTAAAAAGTAGTTACTATACTTTTGTACATTTCAAGTATTTATTTTGTAAACTATGAGACATACTATAAATATTTGTTTTCTTATCAAATAGGTGTAAATAATCAAAGTTCCTTTTGCTTATGGCTAGTGCTTTAGGATAGTGCTTATTAAAATTATCTTCTTTCTTACAACTTGATAGTTAGTAATGTCAATGTCTACTGGTAAACGCCTAAAAAGAGCATAATTGGTACTGTAAGTACTTACATTTTTTATGCGTTTACATTTCAACATAATAATTTGCAATAGATGCATTAATAATCGATAATTAATTTAGTTTATTCAATACACTGAACACGTTATTTCTAATTTGCTTTCTATCAGTTACGGTAGTGAAATTATATTTGATATTAGATTATAAAAATTGTAAGTGACTACAGGAGGTAAATATATGGTGCCATTGACAATATTAGTTCTTTTATAACTGTGAAGGTATATGATGTGATAAGAGGAATGAAAATTGAATGTGTAATTATAGAACTATTTGATGGTTCGACGTTGTGCTTTCCGCTTTTACCTTTTTAATATTATAAATATACCCCTTTTAATAATTAAAACTATCTATCGGACTTCTATGTAAAATGTAATATAATAATACATATATTTTAAACAATTATGGATAATAACATTGTCGACTGTTGCCCCACGTAAAATCGAATTGTTTTTATTGAAATTATTGTAGTAATTTATAAAAAGATTTACTTTACATTTGAAAGTGATAAAAATTGTGAAGTGGTATTTGAATTCAACGAATATTTATAATTGATAAATTAATACTTCTATAATTATTATTATTCGTAATTAAACGCCGAAAGCTCATAATGGGTAATATTACACTAAACTTATTTTGCTGCATATTAATTTTACTATTGAAGATGTAATGTATTAACATATTATTATTTCACATTGTTATTTGTTTTAAAGAAGACAAAATGTAAATGATATTACTGATTATAAAATCGTGATTACACTTAATATATTTAATTTTATTTAAAATCGACAAGTAATATATATCCATCGTTTTTATATGTATTTATAAATAATCCTAGATAGCTAATAGAGTGCGAGTAAGACTTTGTATAAAGTTGTTTCCATTTTACTTATGACACCTGCCAAGATACTTGCTTTGCAAGCTGTTTTGGTTGTTAGACAAGATATGGCAGTGAAATTACAGCTAAAAGAAGCGTGACACCTTAATCCTTAGAAATGGCAAAGCTTGACATATCTGAGGTGATGTTTTTGCATATATGTTTATGTACATAGGCGACTGTTACTATTTACCAACAGATGATAGACCGCTATCCATTCCAGTTACATAAAACAGTAAAGTTTATATTAATGGGTACTACATAACTGATAGATAACCTTAAAAACTCTTATAGTAAATATATACAAAAAATACCTACCAATTTTAAAATACTAATGGAAATAAATATTTGTATTATAGTGATATTGTACCCACTACTATTGGAAAGAAGGGTAGATACTTAACTGCTGGACTGAGCTCTAGTAGTTTATGATACTGACATAACAATATATGTATTAGAATTTCAGTATATCTTAATCCAATGTAACTGTTGCGTTTACCTCATCGATATAGCTGACAATTTATCTATCTACCCCCACTGGGGTAACAATAGTGATTGTATGTATGTTTCATAATCTAATGGAGATGTATGTACACGAAGACAGGTGAAGTGTATAGTTTAATATTTTACCAATCATCCTTCCTGTAACATCGCAGCCACGAAGTTAACGTGTTAATAGTGAGAGACAACGAACAATCTTCATAAATTGATAAATTTTGTCCTGTCACACTATGAAAGTATCGATACAGTGTTACGCAAACGAATCTACGTTTTACTATTACGATAATAAAGATTACATTTGTAGAAAACTAAGTGTCTATGGTAAGTGCTTCATAGACTAAACCATAGAGAATGATGTGAGAGCTCGCGAGCTTTCTCTTTGATAGTTGGCCGCCATTTTGAGTTACAGTAATGGCTGGTATGACGTGAGTTATGCGTTCGTGTCATTTAAACTTAAGTAATGTTGCTATTATTTGAACCGTTAATGTAGGGTTAAATTAAAAAGTAAATAGTTGAAGAAAAGTTATTATTAAACCATTTTTGTTAAAGTAGGTACATATTTTATATTTTCACACGATAACGGTATTTTTTTAAGTTATTTCCACATTCAAATGGTTTGAAGCCTGAAATCTTCTGTTGCTGCAAAATATAAATAATGACATAAACTTATTATATTAATCTAAATTGAATAGGAATTTTCAGTGACAAAACGGAAAAAAGATCTGCGTCCAATTTTAGCTAAATCCTTCATTCATCTAATTTTAATTAGATATCTGTAAAAACGCCAGTTGCATGAAACTTCATATCTCTTTGAGTGGGTGGGTATACCTATCTGTCTGATTAAGATATACATCATTACAATTATATGTCTTTTTATGGTATCCGAATGCTAAATAAGCTGACAGCTCACTTGATGGTAATAATTTTTTTTTATTATTGAGATTTATATAGAAAAACTTTTATGGTAAATTTTAGCTGCTTATAAAGTAATGCAAAAATGGTACACGATATTTCGTCCATCAGACACACAATTAGTTTCTCTGTGGGAACTGTCTAAGAAAACAAAGCGTGTTTAGTTACAACTGTTCTTGAATTGCGCCGACCATTACTATTAATTCTCATTATATACAAGCCATTGCAGTATTTCATTGCGAAGAGATAATTTGCTGGGAGGTTAATTTAAGTTATTTAAGTATTTAACTTTTAATTTAATTTAGTTACGTTTTAATATTGACGTAAATTATGCTTTATTATTTTTGTTTACTAATAATTAGACTGTCATTTTAGTGTTTTTCATGTTTTATTATTTATTTTAAATGTATTCTTTAATTTGTTACCTAATTTAGAATGGATATTTTTTATTAGCATTTAATAACATAAGCAAAAATTTCATTTTTATTTAGTTCTTATTAAGTAATAAAGAAATAAAATGTTTAATTATAATAATAGGTCAAAATACGTTATTCACAAATCGTGAATTTTATAGCATCTCTATTAAATTACACTATGATT